TGTGGACCTCTCTCAGATTTGTTCGTTTTGTGATGATATCTTCAATTCTCTAATTAATTTATTTTGGTGAATATTTTTGTAATTTTTTGGTAAAAAGTGATATTTTCGACTTCTTGTTAAAAACTGTAAGTCTGATTGCTTTGATACTATTCATATTGTTCATTTTCTAATCATGTCTTCAGTTCTTTAATTGAAATGTGCATTGCTAACAGCGGAGCTATCTCAGCCGATAGGCTGCTTGTTTAATTATTTTAAGGGACATAATTTCCAGCTTTATTCAAAGTAGTTCAGATATTTTAGTATTAAAAACAAATGCCTCATCGCAGGAAAAAAGTGCTGCATTTAGACGTGGCATTTGTGCAAGTATTTTGTACAGGTGTCTGTCAAAAATTAATGATTCACTGAGACAAATATGAACTGCCTCATTGTGTGACTACTGTATTATATGAAAAGTAAAAAAAAACACCCCTTATGAATAGCTATCATGTTGCAAGCTCTGCTTTGTATGCAAATCAACTTAAATAGTTAGTTGGTGTCCAGTGGAGGGAGAAGTCAACAGTACTGTTGCCTCCTGAGAATCTACATCTTCAAACACTGCAATCTTTGCTTTTGAAGTGCGTTTTTAAACTGGTATTAGAACAACTCTATCATTCTGTTCTAATAGCTGAAACATATTCCTGTGAATTTTCATTTGTCAAATGAACTGTTTGTCAAATACAGAATGCATATATTTTAGTGCAATTTTCTTTTCAAAATGTGGATGCAACTTTTGCTTTTTATGTATTTTTTATGTATTGTTTTTGATTTGATAACTTTGAACTAAACAGATTTTCTATTAGCTTCAGATCTTGATCAAAGTTTGGCACCCAGTTCATAGGAGTGCTTATATTGATTTTCTGACATCTTGTTTTCTGTAAAGATTTTATTGGTAGGTTTGCAAATGTGTATCAGACTGTGCAATCTTTCCATGAGTTGGTTTTGAAACCCAGTATAGTATTCCCATGGGATTTGGGAGATGCATTACCAAGGATATTATTACAAGATAAATGATTTGCTTCATTGAACACGTACAACAATGCATATTTCAACTGAGATCAGTGACTTTGATGTGTATCACCAGTGATCAGTCAAGTAGAAACAGTCAAAATATTTTATCAGATTTTCTCAATTTTTGCATGATATTTTCATACAGGACATCTGTTGTTCAAACTCAGGGAAGACTTTATAATGATTGCTAAGTTGACCAAGTTTGATGAAGTTTGGAATAGAATTAGTAAAGTTATCATGCACACAATAACAATTATTAACGACGCCGACGACAACGCCGGACAAAATTGTTCCCTCAATATACCTTTCCCTTCCATCTTTGATGGTACGGGCAAGGTAATAAGAGATGGTTTGTATTACATTGAGAATGATTGACAAGTATCTGTCTGGCAAGAATGATTAAGTACCCATTTGACGTTAACCTTGGAGAGCTATTTTATGCTTAAAAAAATATAATAAACACAAAAAGAAAACTAGAACAAAACCTCATTGTAAATAAGCTAACGGTTAAACAAAACTAACCCTAAACAATTTTGGCAAATTACATTGTATAAGCAAGTTAAAGAATTCAGACAGATAAGAAAACACAATTTCACCTGATAAATGGATTGAATACTATAAACAATTGAAACTTTAACAGACTTTCAGAAAAATTTGACTGAAACAGGAATATTTGAAAATATGCTACAATCAAACAATTGATTAAATGCCGAGATAACTGAAAAAGAAATTAAAATAGCATTAGGCCAGACTTTATTATCCCTTGTTTCGCGAACCCGCCGAATGAACAGGAGCCGAAAATGAAATAAA